TTGGGTGGGACTCATATCTATCATGGGATGCTTAAATGGAAAGAAAATGAGCCATAGTTTGAAATTTTGTAGTCAACAATGTGCTAAGAAGATTTTGATAAAAATGTCGATTTGAGAGTAAGGTAAATGGTCGGTGTGATTATGATGTTTTTTAGTATTAAGAGTTGTGGCTTTAGTGAAGTATTACGAGAAATATGTAGGGTTTTGATAAATTGAGTATGTGTGCGATTATAATAGGGACTAGATTGGTGATTGTGGGTAGCTAGAAAATCAAAGTGATAGAGTTAGATGAATGAAAATGTTTGATATGGGCACTATGGAAAGAGTATCTAGAGTTATTAGACTTTGGTTCTGTATATTCTTATGTGACCAACTACTTCATTCTGGACGTAGTTTAGAGTATGATTCACTTTCTACGTCCGTGTGTGTTTTCGCTTCTATGGGTGAGTTACTAGTGGTGGATCGGGTGTACCGATCCTGTGATTGTCCTCTTGGTAGGGTGACATCCTTAGTCAGACTTGGTTGTTTCAGTTATGAAAGATTTAGTGTTGTTTGGGACAGTAGAAGTATACTAGTGGTTCTACACGCACAACCTTGCTTATGAGAACTTATATAAGAGCTATTATGAAGAGTTACAATTGTCTAAGAGTATTGTTAGAGGTTCTGCATTTTGAAGTGTATCGCTTGTTGGGTGTTTACTTAATCAATTTCTTCTTTGAGTTAGATAAGTTCGATTCTCGATTAGTACTTGATGTCTAAAGATCATATTTTTATAAATTAAGCTCGTGGAAAGATTGTATTGTGAGAAGGGAATCTTGATAAAATTTGTGATGGTTTGTGCATTATGGGTGTCTGGTGGTTGATTCATGCTTACTTATGGTCGTAGCTCGTATTGATTTAGACGTTTTTCTTGGTTATGTGAGAAGAGATTTGTCATGATAGTTGTGTTAAGCTCCAGTGGGTTCGAGTTAAATTGGGTCCATGAGTTAGTTTATGACTTGATAACCACTCTTGATTTATAGATCTTACAAAATTTTGATTCGAAAATCCAGTTTTTAGTAGTTTCTCTTGATGGAATGATCTTAAGGAAGAAGCTTACTCGGAGAGATAAACACTAACTCTGGAAATTATACCTCAGGCTTTTGGTAACATCGGTTATTCTTCCTTCTCATTCTTTATGTTCGAGGACGAACATGGTTTTTAGTGGTGGATAATGTAATGACTCGGACCCGTAAGGTCATTTTTGATAATTTTGAATAGTCATTATCTATAATTAATTAATTTGCGGGTAATTTGTTTATTATTAAAAATAATGGACCAAGTCTGAATTATTAAAATAGGTTTGTAGGAATTATTACTTTTAATATATAATTAATTTAGAAAAAAAGAAAGAAAGAGGCGGAAGAAAAACTAACCTAGACGTGCGACAGAAAGAAAAGAAGCAGGAAAATTAGAGTGGTTCAGGTTAGTTCTAATCAAGATTCTTTGTAAAATTGTATATATAATCGTAGGGTGATATTATTGTTAAGGGATGTGGTTGGAATTTGTGGTTTTTAAAAGAAAAGAGACAAAATATTGTCAGTACGTTGTTGGGGTTGAACAAAAGGGAAATTTGAATTGAAACTAAGGTGGGTGTAATTGTTATTAATGAAATTATGTACTCATTGTCATGAATGGATAAGTTGTTGGGTTTGTCGTGTGCTTTTCATGGTTCTGCCATGAATTTGCGTGACCAGTAGATTTCATAGTTAGTTGTTCCTATTTTAAATATTATATTATAAATTAAATATTTAATATATTGAGATAGGTAATTAACTATTGGGTTATCGAATTATATGAATATCATTAGACTTGTGATATTGGAGAAGTTGAAGCTTAACCCTAGACTTGAAACTTAGAAACTTGATTATGCATTTGGGTGAATTGTTGGTTCAAGGCTAAACACATAGTAATGTGGGTGTTGTTAATTTCAAAATCTTATTGTGGTAATTTGTTTGGATAGATTGTATTGATTTGGAGCCCAATGAAAGAGGGAGACTCAAGTCCCAGAGTGATTGTTCGACTATTTGAGGCAAATGGATTTCTAAACCCTTGTTAAGTGTATGGAATTCGTGTATTTCCTTGTAATATGTGTTTGGGGGTAATGAGACGTGGTGATGGGTTGACTTGTCCACGTTGATTAATTCTAATAATGAAAAAAGGGTAATAAAAGGCAATGTGATTAATTGTTTGTGTGTGATGTGTTGAGAATTATTGGTGACGGGCATTGGTACAAGTACCGATGTTATAAAGGGAAAGTTTATTACTATAGAATGCGGATTGTAAT